TTTAACGCTCCCAACAACACGCTAGATCAGGTAATACGTCTGCCTAAGTTCGATCTCCCACTGTTCACCGGAGACATTGCCGCATTCCCCGAGTTCTGGGATGTGTTTGACTCAGCGGTCCACTCCAACCGTTCTATCACACCTGTAGTCAAATTCCACTATCTCAGAAGTGCACTCAGGGATGATGCACTGTCAATGGTCTCAGGATACGAGATCACAGAAGCCAACTATGAAATGGCAGTTAATACGTTGCGTGAAGCCTACTTTCGCCCTGACCTAATCCGTATGCAACTTAGCGACCGGTTACAACATCTTAAACCGGCTACTACGCGTGCAATCAACCAGCGTGTCACATTTGCTCGTATTAAGTCGTTATGGCTCCAGTTGAAAAAATTTGGCGAGCCTCATGACAGCATTTTCGTAATGCGTTTAATACGTGAAAAGTTTCCATCAAGGACACTCAAGTGTATTGGTCAAGCACAGGCAAATGACACAACATCGTGGAAAGTGCCCCAACTCCTCGATGCCCTTGATAAATCTATCAAGACTTTCGAGGTCATTGAGGATTCTACTCCGTTGAAACCGCAATCACCCACACTTCTAGTAAGGTCCACGTCACGATCGTCTTCTCGAGAGTCATCTTCATCTAATTCGTATCGGAGATCTACTATGAAAGCGGCAAGCCCATCCCGATTACGCCGTCGCGATTCCTATGCAAGGTCACGTTGTGCCTTTTGCAAATCTCCAAATCATCCTACACCTACGTGCCACAGAGTGACGTCGCCTAGGGCCCGGCGTCAGATTGTAGATGACCAACGCTTATGCTTTTTGTGCTTCTCAAATACACATATGGCTAAAAACTGTGAGGCGCCACCTTGCCCAATCTGTAACCGTGGCCATCACAGGACCATATGTCGCGAGGCCGCTAAGCATTCATACCGCACAAGACGGAGTAGATCGTCTAGTCGATCCTCGAGATCGTCTAGTCGAGGGAGAGAGTCGTTTCGTAGGTACCGCTCCCCTCGAGAGCGAGTAAGATCTCCACGACGGGATCGATCACCTTCCCCCACATATCATACGCATAGACGCCGATCTCCGTACACGCGATCAGTACGATTCGATACGAATAATCGAATCAAAGCTGTGTTGGGGCTCAGTCCTTAGAAACACGATATATCGGAGAACTCGTCGACACAGAGGACGAGGATCTATACGAGCCCTTATTACAATGTTCCATCGCAAGATCATGCAAGTATCTTCCGAAAACCCACGTCTAATGGTAGTTACAGCGCGATCTCGAAATTATAATACGTCATCTGATGAGCTGCTTGTGCTTCTGCTAGATAGCGGTGCACAGCTTCATTAGGGAGGATACTGCGAAAAGGCTTGGGCTCAAATTAGAAGATCCGCAGTCCCTTACTACGCGAAGTTTTGGAGGATACCTCTCCACAGAAAATTCATCGCGCGTTCTAATAACTCTTCGAGATCAGGTTAACGCAGAAATGCGCATCGCCTTGAGAACTCGTAAGGTGACAACATCTATACGCGCTGGTGATCACATTTTTAATGACGAAATTGAGCTATTACGTTCAGTAATCGATCGGCTGACGATGGGAAAGTCGACATCGACATCCTCATTGGAATAGATCATTAGTGGAAATTGTTGATCCGCAGAGAACTCAGAGATTGCCATCAGGGTTCACAATTGTGTTCACGAGATTCGGACCCGTCATGTCTGGGCTGCGACAAGGTCGCTCTCCACGCGAATCCTGTACAGCTTCACTGACATCAGAAGCACGCGCAGGTCGACAGGAACATGATCCAGACATTAAGCAACTTTGGGATCTCGAGTTCGTCGGAATCACAGATAGTACGTGTCCTGCACAGGACGACTACGTCAACGCTGAGGTCGTTCGGCGCTACTACGATACCGCACAGGTTGTTGACGGGCTGATTCATGTGCAGTTCCCGTGGAAGGAACACCATCCACGCTTACTGGATAATAAGTTCCTTGCGTTGAGGCGCCTTCAACACAGTACGATCGCTTCATAACAAGGAAGAGTTATGGAAACAATATTGCGTAACCTTTGAGAACCAGGAAAGATCAGGTATCATTGAGGAAGTAGGGGAGTTCGACTTTGACGGTCCGCAGTTGTACTACATGCCACATCAAGCGGTTCTGAAAGCCAATAGTACCACTACAGCAGTGCGGATTGTCTTTGATGCTTCCAGCCATCAGAAAGGCGTATCAAGCCTGATTGACTGCCTGCATCAAGGGCCAACATTGCTACCAGATCTTGCTGGTGCGTTACTACGTGCTCGGCTGCCACGATTCCTCATCATTAGTGATGTCGAAAAAGCCTTCTACCAGATCCGTCTCCAGAAAGATCAGAGAGACGTGACAAGGTTTCTGTGGCTTAAAAATACTGCGTGCCCTCCAACGGGTGACAACCTCCGTATTTTCAGATTCACGCGTGTTGTGTTTGGCATAAATGTCTCTCCGTTCTTGCTCAATATGTCCATCAAATACGCGCTTGAACGAGACAGCTGTAATACGTTGCGTGAGAAAGTTCTTGCTAACACCTATTTGGACAATGTACTCATTGGTGCAGACAGCACGGAGGAGTGCATTCAGAAACAAAAGGAATGCAGGCAGACTTTCCAGCGCATGGGCATGAATTTCAGAGAGTTTATGTCCAATAATGCGTCCGCCATATAATATATTCCTGAGCACGATAGAATGAAAGTAAATTCTAGTACGGTCACACTACTCGGATTGCAATGGGACCCAGTGGGTGACATCATCCACATTCAAGTCAATTTAGCATCCCACCGAGTTACGACGAAGCGCGAAGCTCTCCGAGCAATAGCGTCCAACTTTGATCCGTTGGGATACCTTGCTCCGTTGTTCGTCAAGTCAAAGATCTTTATTCAAGATCTCTGGAAGGATGAATATGAGTGGGACTCGCCTTTCGGCGAACAGTATTCCGTTAGATGGCAAGAAATCATGAGCCGGATGGAAGGGTATAGAGCATCCGTACCCAGGTTCATCGCGTATAGAGACGAACAGGCCGAAATGAAATCTTGCTTTTCGCAGACGCGTCCAAACGTATGTAGTGTCCTACTTACTCAATAGAACACCCAATTCTCCCACGCAATCTCATCTCCTTATGGCTAAAACGAGGTTAGCGCCGGTCAAGAAGACCACGATACCTCGTTTGGAACTGATGGCCTGTGATATTGCAACATCACTAGCCCAGTTTCTGCTGAAGGAATTGAAGATTGACGTCAAAGTAGTTCGTTTCTTTTCGGATTCGCATATTGCTCTATTGGATTCATACCAATAGACCTATGAAAGCGTTCGTTAATAAGCGCGTTAAACGCATTCAAAACGTATTGCGTGACCTGGCCTCTGAAAACATCGAGGCAAAGTTTTACTACGTTTCTACAGAGTCCAACCCAGCAGATTGTGCCACTACAGGTCTCTCAGCTGGAGAAATAGCTGACCATATCTGGTGGAATGGACCACTGTTCGTACGTCAATGCCCCACGAAATGGCCGCACTCAACGATGGATTTGACCACTCTCGACTCCGGAAACGGATGCCGAGTTTAAGGTTTCCACTCTCTCTGTCACCAGACAACATCGTTCAGTGTTACCATTTCAAAGGACTAACGACTACAATAAGTTACTACGGTATACAGCTCTCGTTCTCAAATTCCTTCGGAAACGAGTCTACGATAAGGTCTCAGCCCAAAGTCAACTTCGACTCGATGAAATACTCCCCTTAATGGAAGTGTCCACTACACCCCAAATTAGTACGCAAGACGTCAAAGCGGCAGAGCTTCTACTTTTTCGCGAACATCAACGAGAGAGTGAAGCTGAGTTACGCTTACGTCCTACTCAGCGTAGTATTGCGTATAAAGATTCCAGCGGCATTACTCGGGTTTCTACTCGAATGAGGAATGCCGATATGATACGTACGGCCAAGGATCCAATCCTCCTTGCGCCTAACCATCCCTTCGTTGCCATGATCATCGCAAGATGCCATCGTGCCCTATTCCACACAGGAGTTGAGCATATTGTAAGCGTATTACGCTGCAGATATTTCATTCCTCGAATTCGTAATACAGTTTGTGCCGTATAAGGCAATGTGTACCGTGTAGAAGACACGCACACCCTTACCGGTACCCTAATCCGCCAGACCTTCCGTATGAAAGAGTTACACAAAGCAGACTCTTTCAGCGGATCGGTCTAGATTCGGTCCAATCTTCGTCTGTACTACGTCGTCGGAGACTCGTAAAGTCTGGACGTGTTTGTTCACATGCATGACTACACGAGCATTACACTTGGAGTTGGTCTATGACAACTCAGCGGTCGAGTTTCTCTTCGCCTTTCGCAGATTCATTGCCAGGTGAGGCAGTCCTGACTTTATAGTCAGTGAAAAAGCCCCTACTTTCAAGTTAGGCAGAGAAGTACTGGTGAATGATCTGCTTAAGATCGAAGAAGAGACAATAGTTCGTCAGTTTATTGCGCAAAATTCCCTCCGATGGAAGTTCATCACCTCTTTCTCTCCGTGGAAGGGCGGCTTCTATGAGCGACTCATCGGAATAGTGAAGCGATCGTTGAAGAAAACGATCCATCGTAATACGTTACATATTCGTCACTTCGAAACTCTTTTAAGAGAGATCGAGGCAACTCTGAACACGAGACCCTTGGACAGACAGTCAATACCGAGGCTACAGGAGAGATCTCAACACTGAGACAGTAGATCTCATTATCTCCTTACTATCAGCTAAGCCATTCTCCCCACCGAATTCCGTGACTCAGAGTTTCAGTACTACGTTCCGAGTGATTCGGAGACAAGCAGTTCTCGAAAGCTCAGCACGAACATCTCCTTATTACGTTAGACCATTTCTGGTCGTTGTGGCGAAAGCAGTACCTTCAAACCTTAGCCGAGCGTGTGTCCAGCTGCCTTAGAAAAAACGAGGCTCACGCTAATGGCCTACGGTTGGAGAAGTAGTTGCTAATCGTACAGGAGAATGTTCTCGCACATTATGGCCTTTGGCCATTATTACGAAAATTAATACGTCACAAGATGGAGCTCTTCGGTCTGTGCAAGTCAAAACGGTAAGAACTCCTTTTCAGATCGCTCAGTCAACCAGCTGGTTCCGTTGGAACTCCATGTACTGGACGCTGCGACAGATCCAACTCAGCAGAAAACGACAACTAGAACATCTTCTACCTCCACCAAGGATTCAGCCGCCGCGAGTAGCCAAAAGGACACATTCACGATGAGTTCACTTTTCTTTTAAAGTAGTATTTTATTGTAGAGTACCATACTTTATCGTATTTATTAGCAAATTAGTGTAACTATCCTATCACTTATTTTCTTTCTTTTATAGGTTTTTCTGTTAATGCTCGTTATAGGGATTAATGCGTAAACCGTTCGCCCTCTTTATCACGTCGTTAACCTCATTATTAGTTCGTTCACACTTTGGGTTACATCGTCCTACTACGCTGTTACTAATTGACCCATCACCATAGGCGTGCGCACACGAGCACCTAAGGTCAGAGGCTGTCGCCGCAGGACCCATACGGTCACTGACCCGGCGCAGAGGATTTCACAATCAGCAGAGCCATCGTCAATCGATGTGCGTATCCCATTCGGGACAGTCCGCTTATTATTCCTATCAGTACTCGTTCTCATCTCCCCTATCTTACCAGTCTTCTATTGCGTGTCAACGTCATATCATAATACGCCTTCATTCCAGGATCATTTATATACTATTATTCTCTACGCTAGTATTCTGAAATGATGAAGAAAGCGCGAAGGTCCAAGAGGAAGACTGAAGACACTTCAGCGGTTACTGATGAGGTAAAAAGTTTGGATAATGCGTTTGCTATTTCGGTTGATATTTCGTCCTCTATTGCGTCAGAGGCCTCAGCATTGCAGGAGGACATTTCTGTACCGCAGAAGGGAGCCTCTATGCCAGCTCAGCAATAGCATGGGGTTTCCCAGCAGAACAGAGATGTCCCAAGCACAGGTGAAGCTGTGTCCACAGTAATACGTCCTACCTTAAAGAATCCTTCTAGAGCCTGCTCCTTCGCAGAGTCAGTCCGCGCCGGGCTCGTTGATCCCAACGCACCGGACGCGGCTTCTGCGCGGACTACCCCTTCGAAGAAGAAGGGGATAGCGATCCCGTTGCTCCATCATCGGCGCGTGCCTTCGAGAAACCTGTCCGTTTGGCAGGCTCGTGGGCGGACGAGATGAATAAGGCATCTCGTCCGCAGCAGTCACCGACGGTGGAGCAGAAGGCCCCTGCAGCAATGTCCGAACCGGTTGATATGGAAATAGATCAACCGCCCAATAGTACTACGTCAGCAGACACTCCCGCTGCTCCCCAAGAAAAGGGTAATGCGTCATCATTTACTACGTATCGGGAGAAAACCAAGCGGTCCCCATTTGTGAAACCCCAGGGCAGCATTGCTTCTGCACCAGCTGGCCGACCGCAGCAGACTAGCACACCCCAAGCTTCACTTAATACGTCTTCCACAGCAGCGTCTGTTGCAGTCGAACTTACTTTCGACCCATGCAGACAGACCATCGATAAATATAAGGAAATATTACGTAACGCAGCAACAAAAATGCGTCAGGCTTACAAGCATTGGCTTAAAGAGGCGCAACTATTGAAGTTGGACGTAATCTCGTCTTTCGAAGGTAAGGACAAAAGCGAAATATTACCGCCTAACTATGCAGCGCAAGACGTATGGCCACTGCCACCTGTAGATACTTGTAGCTCTTATTTCGTTAATCTCAAACAGTTGAAGAATTGACTGCCATGGAGTTGAAGACTGTGTTTGATTTTGTGACGATGCAGACGGAGCTAGAAGTCATGGAGCTCGTTGCTGACACTCAGTTCGAGTACCGTGACAGCCTCGTCTGCATCATTAATTCCATGCAGCTATTACGTAAAACGGTCAATAATGCTGTCGAGCTCATCGGTCAGCTCGCCTTGCTCATGCAAAATGGGACCCATGGAGCCATAGCTTCGTCACCCTGATGGCATGGATAGACGAGCTAACCCATAGCCTGACTGCAATTATGATCCATAAAGAGGCCTTGCAAGGGGAGATAATCCCTCGTATTTGGGGCAAACCGGGGGACCATTAGAGGTTCAAAAAGTATTTGCGGTTCGCTATTAGATGACTGATACCAAAATTAGTTCCTCCTTAATACGTGCTTCTGCAGTCTCTGCCCATATAATACGACTTATCGCTCGCTGCCAAGCTCTCCAGCTCAAGTCAGTTAGCCACCTTGGGTAAAGTGACCAGGAGGCGAAGAACTTCCTGGTGGACTACCCCAAGGAATGGCGGGACTGTTTCCCGGGACAGATGCGCACTGAGGCTAACTACCTCAGCTGGTGGAAGCAAACACTATGTGCAGCTCTTCAATAATAAGACGGTAATCAGTTCGCCGCTCATGTCACGATGAAGCCAAACGTTTGGTGGAGGATGTACAAATCCAAGCCACCACACGCAAGGCGGAATCTAGTGCATCAGGAAGGCCTCCTCATCGCAGCCAATTTCAAATCGGGGGGGATTTGAGTCCCAAAAGCCCTAATCGTCCGTAGTACGTATGGATGAAGGACAAGGTCCTTCCCAAAAAGTACTCCTCGTAACTCGGTCTAGTGCTGCGGCACCCCCGAGGCCGAAGCTCGCCGTCGTTGGGAGCCTGGACACTCAAGGTCCAGATCTCGAAGTTGCTGAGGCAGGACGAAACCAGGAAGAGGGGCCGTCGGCACTAGTCGTGGGGTGGCGCGAGGACACACGTAGCGCAAAAACCTAGCGTATGAGGAACCCTTCACGTGATACCAAGTACGTCAGGGAGGCGCGCGCTCGCAATACACGACGGCGCCTGCACTAATGCCACGCCAGCCACTCCGCCGCCTGATCAGCCGCCCTGGGTGTTCTGCTCGGCTTCAGGCAGTGTATTCAGCCGAATGTCCTTGTACACAGGGGGTTGAATGCGAAGGGCCAACCTCTCATCAGGGACAAGAGGTGTTCAATTTGCCTTGGGACAGACCACTTCGCGCTACTGCATCGAGGGGAGACGGTTGCAGGTAATGCAAGGAAACCGTCGCACCATCAAGCGCTTGCTGTGAGCGAACCCCTTTATTATCAGGACCTCCACAACTGCGGCTTCACGTTTTTTGCAGCGAGGTTGAGGAAGCGACGCTCGTGCCCGTCCTGAAGGCTACCGCAGCGTCGGCCTTACTCGAAGCCTAGGATGAGGTCCGGCATTGAGAGAAAGTGGACGGCGAGGCCGAGGGGTCTTCTAGCGCGTCATCATATGGTCGAGGTACCACCACGCCGCTGAGTCCGTACCATGTCATAATACGTGCGTTTAATACTGTGTACTAATACGTTGTATCAAAAGTACAGTTGGCGATTTCCCTGCGGAGAGGCTAACGTAGCGCAGGTAAGCCTATATCTACATCATTAACCCCGTTTTCATCTGTGCTTTAATTGGCGATATATAGCGCGCTCTCGCGCGCGCCCCCTTTTTTATCGTTTTAGGGCATCCGACTGGTAGCGAATGGCAAGCGGCTGGTGAAGAGCGGCATGGTGGCTGGACGATTTCGAGTTGGTCGATGTGGTGAGTGCGTGGATCGAATATAGCGATGGATCAAGGAGATTGCCAGCGATATAATGGCGACGACTTACAGTGACACCTGCTTATCGACATATGTCCGACGAAGGTGGACCAACGAAGGCACTTCTTCGATACATTTTTTGGAATTGCCTTAAGACACTCCCTTTTATGCTTTTTAAGAGTGGCCACAAGGCGCTCTCATTGCTTTTTTTAGAGTGGCCCATAAGGCGCTCTCATGGCTTTTTTAGAGTGGCCCTTAAGGCGCTCTTGTGTCTTTTTGTATCTCGCTGTGGGGGTTTATTACGTATCACGTGTTGTATTTGTATTTTGTTCTCCTATTATCTCTGGGTGCCCTTAAGGCAACACATGTCTATGACGGTTGAGAGTGCTTTTTGAAGAGAGCCCTTAAGGCAATGTTTCAAGTGATAACGATTTTTTAATGGTCGCACGATTTTTTAATGGTCGCCTGTAGGTAGAAAAATGTGAGGGTGAGAGTTCCGTTGCTGATATCTGTGTTTTTCAACATTATGCCTCAATTGCTGGAGTCTGGTGTCTACTTCTCCCGGCGAGGACTTGACCATTCCGACCCCCCGTGGCTTCTTCTCGCGCGCCGGAGAGTTGTCGCGGATACGACGGTCGCCGTTGGCCGCACCTCGCGCCCCGGCCCGTCCGCGCTCGGTTCCCACGGCGTGCGCTTCACGTGCGCCGTGGTTCCGCCCCCTGCGGTCGTAGCCAGTGTAGTCGTCCAGTGGCTGGCAGCCGGCGCCGGTTGGTTTTCACCGGGTAACGCCAGGACAGGGCCCAAGGCGGAGGGGTGAAGACCACTCCGAAGCCGGGGGCAGCTCGAGCGCCGGCCATGAGCCGGCCGATGTCCATCCCCTGCTCCCCGACTGGGAGCAGCCTCTGCTCCAGCCCCGACAAGGACATCGACGACCGCATGGAGCGATGAGGGCTACCGCCGGCAGGATGGGGGCCTAATACGTATGAGGGAATGTAGCCTACGGGCCTAATGCGTACCTCAGAGGGGCAACGGCCATGGGGGCCTAATGCGTGATCGGCTATGGAACGAAACTCATGGAGAACCAGGGGAGAACAATCATTGTAGTGCGGTGAGTAGTTCGTTAATAAATGATGTAGATTATCTAGTGTTCTGTTTGTTATCATAATGGTCTCTACCATGGATGCTTACTTGTATTGCTATGTTGGTGTTGTTACCATGGTGGTACCATGGTGGTAGACATACGGGGGTAGGGCCACGGCCTCGTGCGGCGCGGTACGGTGGAGGTCGTGGTATGCTTAAGGGATGGCGGTCTCGTGCGGCACGGTACGGTGGAGACGCCGTGGACGGTTGGGGGTCGGTAAGGTGCCCGCCGTAGATGAACCCCATGGTCCCCGGGGGGTTAAGTCCACCCTTCTTGTGCGGGTGCGCAGGAAGGGTGTGGTGGAGCGATGGGACGCGGGAGCCGCGGTCACCACCGATGTTGATCGCGTCATTAGGGTGCGTGTCCGCGACACGCGGTTTCTCAAGTGTGTGATGTGATTTATGTGGAATAAATTTATTTGAATTTGATTAATTTATTTATATGAATTGAATAATTTGAATTAATGCTCCTCCTCGGCAAAATAAAAGTAATTTCGTGTT